AAGATAATAATTAATTATTCTGTTAGAACTTAATGATTTGTTTAATTTTATTTTAGATTTTTTATATTTAAAATGAGATGTTTATCCTGTATTTGATTATATTTATCTGCATTTAGTTACACGAATTAATATATGAAACTTCAATAAGTTGTACTTACGCACAATCTACTTGCAATATTGAGTTTTAAGTAATATGCATTGTAATATTGAGTTTTAAGTAATATGCATTAATAAGCAGTACTTTACACATAAAAAATAGTTTTTAAGATTTTTTGTCAAATGTTTTATAATATAGTATAAAATATGTGTTTTTAAGAAAACAATAATGATTTTATTTTTGAATAAAATATAAATTTGAAGATATCATAAAATTTTGAATTTTTTTTATCAATGTTAATATCAAATCAACTATTTAAAAATTTTCATTTTTTATGTAATTTGTTTAGTTTATTTATTTTTATTATAATTTAATTTATTTTAGGTTTAATAATATAATATTTTATAAAGAAAATAATTTAGTATTCTGTTAGAACTCGATGATCATTCTAATTATATTTTAGATTTTTTTATATTTAAAATAAGATGTTTATCCCGTATTTATTTATATTTATATGCAGTTAGTTACACGAATTTGAATATGAAACTTTAATAAATTGTAATTACGCACAATCTACTTGTAATATTGAGTTTTAAGTAATGTGCATTAATAAACAATACTCTATGCATAAAAAGTGGTTTTTAAGAGTTTTTGTCAAATGCTTTATAATATAACATAGATATCTGTACTACTTTACAAACCAGATTTATCAAAAGTCTTAAAAATAATTTTTAATGCACAAAATACTATACATTTAAGCACAAAGTCTTAAAAGTTTTAAAAACAACTCATAATACATTAAGTACTACTACTTTATGTATTCAATCTTAAAATATCTTAATATACAATTAAAATAACATATAGTACAAATTACTGATTCATTACTTTTTCTTTTCATGTTTCCAAGATACTTTTGACACATTTCACTCATACATTCATCCTCTCATATCTCTATGTTTTCTCCTCATCCTCCAATGTGAGATTCAAACTGATATTCACCATAAGTTATTAAAATTTCTCTCATCATCTCTCATTCAATTGTTCTAGAACTCTCGGTCTCGCTTTCGATCTCTTGAGTCTTTGCTCTTGGTGTAAATCGAACACATTTGTGGAGTCGTTTAAATATGTTGGATTTTAAATATAATAAACTTTAAACTGTCATACAATTTTTTTCATCGATAGACTGTAATTGTTACCATAACTCTTATTTATTTAAATTGTATTAATATGTAAAGACCAAGTGTAACTTATATCATTGTTAAATCTTTTCTAATAAACCAATGAAACTTCAAAATCGTTAAAATTCACAGCTCCCACCGTATTATACGGATACACAACTAGTAAATTATTATTTATAAAAATTATCATTTCAATCTACATAAAGACTCAATAAAAATAAACTCTTTGATAAATATGTAAAATGACGATTCCGTTTTGGGGTTTAGCTCTTGTAGCGCCTTGATAGTTTTATTGTTCTTAATAAATTTGTGGTTTAAAAAAAAATATATTCAATTTTAAATCAAATACAATAAATGGATATTGCTACATACATATTTATTTATATTAAAATTTGATTGATATAAAAAATAAAAAAGATGTTTAATTCAGACAAATAAATAAAAATGAGAATGATAAGAATGAAATTCTTTTGGTTTAACTTGTAAAAAAAAATTAATTAAAAAAAAATTGAGTCTATTATACCATATTAGAAGTGTACTTGCGCAATGCAGCAAGATATATCTCGATATTATTGTTTCATTTATTCCGTCTCTGTAGATGTTTTAATACGGTTTTTATGTGGTTTTGAGAAAGATATAATGTTTTTGTTTTGAATAAAATATAAATTTGAAGATATCATAAAATTTCGAAAATAAATATATTAATATTAGTATCAAATTAACTATTTAAAAGTTTTTTTTATAATTTCTTTAATTTAATTTAATTTAAATTTAGTAACGAAGTAATTTATTTTTGGTTTAATAATATAATTTTTTATAARGATAATAATTAAGTATTTTGTTAAAACTCAATAATTATCCTAATTATATTTTACATTTTTTATATTTAAAATGAGATATTTATCCTATGTTTATCTGCAGTTAGTTATACGAATTCAAAAATGAAGTTTTAATAAATTGTACTTACGTACAATTTACTTGTAATCTTAAATTTAAGTAATATGCATTAATACATAGTATTTTATACATAAAAATAATTTTTAAAAGTTTTTATCAAATGCTTTATGATATAATATAGATAAAATCAAATAATTTCTTTTATTTTTATTTTAATTAATTACAACTTTTGTTTTCATGAAATTAGCATTTGCATTTGGCTTTCCTAGTGAATGATCCACGCTGACACGCTCTACACTTGTCCCAAAAGATGCAAATACTGATGCTGCCGGGAGCTCGTACCGGAATTGCACCACCGTCGTTGGCGGCAGCACAACCTTCACCGTTATTATTACACCGACCTCTCTCCGCCCTCAATTTTGTCTCTTCAGTCACCTCGTCTACTCAGCGATGTCTTTCTTTAACTTCATCATCGTCTCAGTTCTCGCTTCACAGTTATCGACGTCGAATCAGAAAACCTAATAAACTTACTTCAGCTCCCATATCCGCCGCCTACGTTCCACCCAATTATGAATCCGATAAGTCAAAATTCGCTCAGGTAACAAATGTGCAAAACACTCCAAATAGAATTTGTATATTTTCAATGTGCCCCGACAATTTACTCGTAAGGTCTTCAGTTTGTCATACTTACATCTCAATGGGTCGCTATTACAATTTACACAGAAACAAATTTGTTCAGTTTAAATAGAAGTGAATTGTAGCTCGAATCCAGAGTGGATGGTGTGATACCTTGTAAAATATAAGCTGAAATCCGTTTAACTGTCTTAGTTAATGTTAGCATCCTCCATGGAAACACAAAACTGTTGAAAATTGAACAGTATTGCTGTATTTGCTGTTGACCTCATTTTTGTTGCTTATATTAGATCTTTCTTCTTCTTCTTCTTCAAATTGGAGCCTACGTGATCGACAGATCAACACAACTAGAGGGTCGCCGATGTAAAACTGAGGGAGAAAGCCAGAACCACATCCATTAGTTTAGGTTAATGCTGTACTGATTAGGGATGATATGAGGAAATTGGGCTGTGATTAGATGTGCTACTGTTCACAGATGAATGTTTGATATATTTGCTTGGCCTCCTTCTAGTCATACATCCCAAATTCTGCAATGTCGTATTTTTCCAGGACCCATATGTGATGCTTTTCTTTCTTGGTAATGGCTGGTTTGAATTTTGGGCAATCCGAGCTCGGTGTTCCAATTAGAGTGGAGCAAACTTACTGTTAGGTACTAGGTTACACTACCCATGAGTTTTTAAGGAAAGACCAAATCTGAATCCAATTGGCCACATGTTAGTAGATTTAAGGAAAGAAGGCACCATGTGAGTCAAATGCTAGCCAAGATGATCGACAGCCATTTGTGCTATCAATAATCTGTAAACTTATCCTTGACTCTTGAGTGAGTATCTTAAAGTGTATTTTCTTTGCAGTTTCAATAATTTTTGACAAATCTTGTTATCTTTTTTTTTCCTCATAACTTTGTATTATGCCAGGTAGTCATCAAGAGACATGTCACATAACAGAATGTGGGACAAAGGATAGACAGATGGTCAATTATGTTGTAAATCAGGAATTCAGGAGGAGCAAATGAGAGAAACAGTCTAATAAGAAATATTCTTAGTGGTGGGTTATATAGGGATGGTTGGTGTGAATGAATTTATCTACTATAGCCTCCTTTTCTCTGGATTCCTTTATGCTTCTCACCTGATGAATCTTTTCCTTGGTTCACCGATGAAACTACCCATGTCTTCTTCTCTGTTGTTTTTGTTACTTGTTTCACCAGACTGATAATTTTCTTATTTCCTAAGTGTACTAGTTGATCGTTGTAGCTTGTACCCACCATTGAATAAGAAAGCTGTCTGTCTGTTTTCACTGGTGAAACAAGTAAGAAAAAGCAACAGAGGAGAAGACAAAAGGTAGTTTAATCGGTGAACCAAGGAAGAGAAACCTCAGGTGAGAAGCAAAAAGGAATCCAGAGAGAAGAAGGCTATAGTAGATAAATTCGTTCACACCGACAATCCCTATATAACCTACCACTTAGAACATTTCTTGTTAGACCGTTTCTCTCTTTTGCTCTTCAATTCCCGATTTACAACAAAATTTTGCCATTTGTCTATCCTTTGTCCCACATTCTGTTATGTGACGTGTCTTTTGATGACTACCTGACATAGCATTACTTAACCTTACACTTTGTCTCTATCCAATAAAGCTTGTATAATTTAGTTTACTGTTTACATAGATGCACATAGATTTCTTTTACAGTTCAGATTATGAATCATTGATATAAATAGGGATAAAGGATTGTTTTAATTCACTGTTCAAAATCCGGTCTTTCTGTTTACCATTTACATTTTGTTGTTTCTTTCAGAAAATAGTTTTGCACTTTCGCTTGAATTATTGTGTAGGTTTCAAAGAAATTGGAGAATACTTCAAGGTATTTCAAGAGGTTGGGTAGCTTGGGATTTTGGGGACAGCTGGCATGTACAACAGTAGCTGCAGCCATCCTTTCATTTTCTGTTGTTATTACCGGAAAGATCTCTTCACCAGTTACATTTTATGCTACTGCTGGTGGTATTGCGGCTGCTTTCCTCTCCGTGTTTTGGTCATTTGGCTATATTCGTCTTTCTGATAGGCTTCGGAAAACTGCCAATGACCCTTCGAAGGTATTATAACGTCTTTATCAAAACATAATATTCCATTTTTTTATGCATGATCCCTTGGACACATGGCATATTACTATATTACCATTTTCCGGATAAGTTGCATGTGTAGCCTTATAAAATGGTAGTAAGTAATACTGAAGATTGTTGAGCAGCAGAAATAGCTAAGAAATACGTTGATGTGATATATAATATATATAGGGAGGTTCAAACGAGAACAATAACTAAATAAGAGAACACGGAAATGGTCAAATCACGGGAAATCACATGTGATTTTTCACTAACGGTCAGGGCAACATGGCCCGCGACCTCAAGTCATGGCCAAAGTCACGTGAATCACATGTGATTTTACACGTGATTCGACCGTTTTCTTATTCTCTTACCAACTTACTATTCTCGTACGAACCTGGCTCTCTCTATATACATAAAAGTTCGTGAGTACTATTGAAAATCTGATAGTGTTATTAATTCTTCATTGATTTTATCCTTTTTGTTGAAGGCAATTCTAACTCAACAACATACATGAATACAGTAAAAACAGATACCCCTTCATTGATTTTATCCTTTTTGTACCATGTAAAATTTTATTGTAAATTGAGAAGGGAAAATTAATGCAATTCCTCGTTAAAGAAAATCCAAAATTTATTTTTTAACATAAAATGGCTAAATATGCTAAGCTGTTTTGATATTTTGTTATTTATCATTCTTTGAAACACGGGCCTCCATAGAGAAAATCCATTATGTGAAAATTATTACAAGTACACTGGTCTAATGTCTCAAGCCACCCCCTAATTATCGGTTCCATTAATCACAATGTATTCTCCTAAGAGGATTGTTCCTCCCCTAGGAGGTACTACCTATTCTTGCCTTCAATGGGTATATGATCATCATACAATGGTCCCTGCCATCGCATTCCTAGAGAAAAATTGACCATCTACCGAATTAGACTAACTCTCTTATGACGAGCAAAGAAAAATGACTACAAAGCAAAAGAAGCAACCCCTATAGACAAAGCTTTTTTCCTGAAAACCCGGGAGACTACACCCAACTTGCAAACAAATGCACATTGGTAATTCAATAAGGGGTTGTTTGGTTGGTTTTTCATTAAGTCCTATATGGATAAACCTGACTGTGTAGATAAATCTGTCTTTTTGTGCGGTAGGGTTTTTGTTTGGGGTGTTTTTTCCTAGATGGAAGGAATGCGTTCTTTTAATTGGGAGGGACATGTTTTGGAAAAACTTGGCTTTCTACATAAAGCTCCCTCCTAGAAACTTACTGAATAAAACACTTTCTATATCATTAAGCCACTACCAAACAGTCATGTGTAGCTGACAGAATTAAGTTGGTAGTCCCATTAAGCTCATTAAGCAGCTAACAAACAGGTCCTAAGGGATATATAGGTCTGAGATCTGAACGCACGATCTCTAGGTTAAAATAAGCAAAATCAAACCATTCGAGCAAATCCAGTTGGGCTCATGCGTAAAACCTTGTTGAGTCTTGAGATTTGATGATTCCAATTCTTTAAACTTCTAGTTCTTCCAGTACACATTCCGTTGTCACTTGTCACACTTTAATTTGAGTATTTACTTTGTCAGACTGATCAACGGCCCCCTTAAGGGTACTGTGATTCATTGGTTCAGAAAGACTTTTCATTCATTCCAACTGAACTAACATCATGCATGTATCCATTTTTTTACAATTAGGGAAGTTTAAGAGAGGGCTGAGTTCTTCCTGTTTGCTAAAACAATGTTAACTTATAATAAAGAGAGTACCGTTTTTTTACAACCATGATTATTTTTATGTCTTTTAGGCACCTCCTCGTGCTGATGTCGTAAAAGGCTTGAAAAATGGCATTGTTTTAAACCTTCTGGGCATGGGTGCTGCTATTCTCGGGATGCAAGCGACTGTTGGAACACTGGTGGCTAAGGCTCTGACTACCTCAGCCAATCCTCTGTACCGGAGTGGGAGCAGCCCCATCCTTGCATTGGACGTTTTCTTAGTACAGGTATTCTATCGATTTCATTCAACATCGTTTTGATAAGTGACTAGCTACAATTTATGAATATTGTATTTTGTTTGTACGTGGTTGGCCAGAGTTTTTTCAGCCTTAGGAAGTGAATGTAGATCACGTAAAGTAATACTTCTTCCATCCCATGAAAATTGCAATATTGGACTTGATATATAGTTTCATGAAAAGAAAGACAAGGAAATCTTGTGGACCCAAATGAATTTCATCTTGTGATAATGATACGGCTAAAATGCATCAAAATGCAACAAAGTTTGGTTTAGTAACTAAAGAAAAACCATAAATTACGTGTAACGAACAACTTTTTTCTTAATAGATGTAACAAAATTTTAAAATTTTCTATTTTATATTCATTTTGACCGGCAACCTGCATTTTGTAATGTTTGATGACATGGATATTCGTTTAAGAAAGGGTTATGGAGAAGGGGATGATAAACTTGACATCCGCATCATCAAAAGTTACAAGATCAGCAGGTTAACGGTCAAAATGGGTACAAAATAGGGAATTCTGAAATTTTGTTACATTGATTGAGAAAAAAAATCTCTAGATAGGAATTACACAAACTCTTGCATTTTGATGCATTTTGCGTTGATGATAATTGACAAATAAACAAACGCCACATGAAAATATTTAGAAAGTGAAAGGGCAAATTGCATCAAAAGGTAGCATATTTTGTTCTAATTCCTATTTTGGGTAACATACTTCTAAAACCTTCATTTTGGTACCTGAGATTGAAAGTTTCAAATATTTAAGTACCTAAGTAACCGACTTAACCATTAACCGGTTACTATGCTGACATGATGAGTGACGCAACATAAAAACTCATCATTTATTTGGTGATGTGGCTAATGAGCTTGAGTGTATAAAGATTGTTTTAGAATATATATCTTCTATTAAAATTTATATGATAAAAAGAAAACTAAAAATCACTAACCCATGTCTTCTAGCCGCGCCCCTTTCCATACTATTCACCAATCATCCACCAAACATCAATTTCTACCCACTGCTACTCACCACTTCACCAATCATCCACCAAGCAATCAAAGTAACCCACTATGAACACCAATTAATCATCCATGGACTCCGTCTAACCACCAAACCATCGCCACCACCATCACATTGCTTTTTAACCATAACCTTTTTACACCATGTATACTTCATCTTCCATGAAGATCTCATCCAAGTCCATCTTGAGTTCATGTCGAGTTGGGTTTTTGGGTTTCAAAGCAATCCATATGAAAGATCGATTAATAAAAATATGTATACATGTCATGATATATTGGATTCAAAAGCTTGCATAGAGATACCATAGAAACCACAGCCATACCACACCGGAGATGGTGGCCGGAGACGAAGGTCGGAGATGGTGAGAGGTGACAAACGTTGGAGATGGTGACCGCAGGCAAACGTCGGAGATGATAACCGGAGATGGTGCCTAGAATGGTTGTTGTCTTCATCTGAACTGTGTAAAAATATATATTATGTATTATATATATATAAAATATAAGATAACAGTTTTTAAATTAATTAGTAAAAATTAAAGAATATACACTATGCTGTTAATATCGCGATATATATCGGCGATATATATCGGATATCGCTCCTAGGAAAAAAATCGGACCTTAAATATCGGTCAAAATATCGGGAACGATATTATCGGCGATATTTAGCGATTTTTAGTATTTTTTAGCGATATTTTGAGGTAAAAATCGGACCGATATTCCGATTTCTCAGTTCTCACAACATCGAGTCTTCGACTTCTTCTTCTCACAACGTCTTCTCTTTTCTCGGTCTCTCTTCTCGATCTCCTMTGCTTTTCTCTGTAATCGACACAACATAGCCAGCGATAGGGATGGCAACGGGACGGGGATGGAAGAAGCCGAAGGTCGATTGCTGGTCTGCTGCTCACTCTACCGGCCGTTGCTTACAAGGGTCAAGGGGGGAAGGAAGGCGATGGCGGTTGGCGGTTGGCGGATATGCGTACGTCTGTGAATTGTGATTTGTGATCTGTCTCCTGTGGCCGGCTGGTAAGTGGTAGGCGGTAGCTATCGCTTAGAAATTTACAAGTGCTCCAGCCTCCAGTCCAAATTTCAAAAGGCCCAAACCCAAATGAGTAACAGACTATTAGACTAACAGTTTGCCCAAATGACTAATTTTATTATTTATTAGATGATGTGATGTTTTAATTTTGAAACTATATTTCTAAACTCTAATTAATGCATATTATATATATAATTCTAAGATATATTATGTTAACCGCTATTTTGGACCGATATATCACCGATATATCAGTTATATCGGTGATATATCGGTGATGTATCACCGATATAACCGATATATAACCGATGTATCACCGATATCACCGATATAACTGATGTGGCTAATGAGTTGGATTTTATTATATTACAACTCGTCATGTCAGCATGGTAATTGGTTAATGGTTAAACCGGTTACCCAGGTGATCTCAAGTACCAAAATGAAGGTTTTAAAAGTATGTTAGTCAAAATAGGAATTAAAACAAAATATGTTACCTTTTGATGCAATTTACCCAAAGTGAAATTGTTGCAATTTTCATCATGGTATGCCAACTTTGCAATTTTCATGGAACATAGGAAGTAACCTTCATAAATTGAAGAGGAAAGTATATAATATTTTATCTAGGGCAAATGCAACAAATAAACTCACACACCCTCGTCATATTTGGTGAGATTTGAATCCTGACCAAAGGCTCAGATACCAGTAGGTCAAAGGTCCTCTGGTAAGCTTCATAAATGTTGATATCTGCTCTAAGGGATGCCAGATCTTTCTTTCATTTCAATGTAGTTAATTGTGAACCACGTTGTTTGTATACAGGCATCTGCGAACACCATCCTATCACATTTCTTAGGACTTGTGTTCTCACTTGAACTACTGCGGTCAGTCACGATACCACCTTCAGAAAGCATCCACGTCCCCAAGGTAACATGACCTCTTCTTCCATTTTAAGATTTACTTTGTGTTTTAGAGATGAAAAACGGATGGTCAAACAAGCGCCATAGCTTGTTTCATGTTTTTTGAGGGGTTGTAGTTTGCATGTTGAAACTGGAAGTTGTAATTTATACAGGCATCTTAGTCAACTGGGCCAATCATTTCTAGTCCTTTAAACATGAATCGTTTATCGTCCTCCTGAATATGCTGAAACCACCTGTGTCTTAACTTATCCGAGATAGATGCAACTGTGTAAAATACCTCATCTGGTATCGTGTCCAACATAGCTTGGCCGCAAGTCCACCTCAACATCTTCATTTATGTGACTTACCATTTTTCTCTCGTGCGCTTTTTTCATCGCTGCTGAACATTCTGGTCCATAGAACATAGACTGTCTGATGGTAACCTTATAGAATTTACCTTTTAAGCTGCTTGTCAAACAAAACCCTTTGATTGCACCCTTCATTTTAGCCAACCGGCCTTTATTCGATGTGCAATGTTCTCCTCAACCCGCTATGCGAGCCGACTGATCCCGGGCCGACCACCTCCTTGGATTTGAACCTGAGACCTCCTGGTACTTTTGACCTTTGGAGCCAAGTTCAAACCAATCAGGCACCAACCCTTATGGTTTACACATTGTTCACATATAAACACACGCAGAACACTGTTCACAACTTGTTACACGTTCACATGAACACACAGAACAAATGATGAACAATCTTTACATGTGTGTTTGATAGTGAAAAAAATAAGGGTTTTAAGAAAAGCGTTGTTAGAAGATTATGTTATAGGAGATCTTGCAAATCAACGAGACATCAAAGGAACAGATCTTTATGTGGGTATCTGGTTCATCGGAATATGAAGATATTGTAATGGTCAATTTCATTCATGTGTTTGGTTCCCTCTTTGAGTTTTTCAGTACGAAATTCCAATTCCGATTCATCTATCTTTAATTGTATATGATTCATCGCTCATTTGATTGCATTGGTTATATGTTTGATTTCAATCTATCGATCGCTCATTATACACGATTGGCATATGGTATATCTAATAGGAATATGGCATTTTCAAATCTAATTAATTTTAATAAATCACTCGTTTATTACAATAAAACATATACTAATATCTTTACGGAGTTCTTGAGATGTGGGATCTTTGAAAAACGTGAATTTTGCCCCGTTCTTAGTATAGTATACGATCCCCTAACTACTTCAGAGAGACAATCGGGAAAGGGGTTCCTCTGTTAGAAATGTTTCAGAAAGGTTTAAATAGCTCTACGAGACAATCGGGAAAGGGGTTCCTCTTTTCAGAATAATTTTTAGGTTGTGCGAGGCAAAAGCAAATAATGACCTTTGGAAATTGTGTGAAAGTAGGATACTTCAAATAACTTGAACTTTTGTTGAAATAAAATGTATAATATATTTTTTTTTATCTTTGTAATGTCTTATTATAACATGGTTCTTTTTATTTTTTCATGTCATAAACAATGTTTTTAAAATCTTGATTTATTTTTTACATGGAATAAATAAAGTTACATGTTAAATTTATCATATTTTGTATAATAAAAAACTGCTCATAAACAATATGATTATGAAAAACTACTTGAAAAATATAAAAGATATAACTAATAAAACGTAACAAGGGTGGTGTATGATTGGTTTGAGCTTGGCTCCAAAGGTCAAAAGTACCAGGAAGCCCCAGGTTCAAATCAAGGAGGAATAAAAATCCCTTGTGGTCACGGAGGTTCAAATGCGGTGACACCGGGCTATCTGCAAAGCAGGTGGTTGTCTTGGGCTTAGTCGGGTCGTATAACGGGTAGGATATCTAGGTTAATAAAAAAAAACAGACCATGAACCTTATTGAAAGGTTATTTGATGCAACTTTTTTAAAAAGTAGGTAAACATGGTATTTTCAATAAACTAAAAAACAAACTCGTTTATAAAATAATTTATGATTGTCAAACATGGCCTTTTTTACGACAAACACATGTAATAAAACACGACCTTTTGTCATATATGGCCTGAAATATTCTTCTTGGAACAAAAATATGCATTTTGTCCCATTCAGTGAATACAAGTCTGATGACACATCAAATGTGGAACCACAAGTTTTTGTTACGTTGGGCCAATCACATTATATTGAATTCAAAATGAAGGCTTCAAAAGCATAATTTAAGAGCAGGCCTCCAATTTCTTCAAGTAGTTTAACATTTGGTATCCAATTAATTCTACTTGAGATTTAACATCTTGCATCCTTCAACTCCATGCATTTTCCTGTTGATTTGAGATTTAACATCTTGCATCATTCAACTACATGTATGTTTCTGTTCATTCTTCGTTGCCGGAATCTTGTTGATCTTCATCTGAAGATTTATCTTCCTTGTGATGTTCTTCGTGATCGCCTGCTTCCAACTTCATCTTCTTTTCTTGTTTCTTTTGTTTCTTCTTTTGGCGTTTCAAACGCTTCTTTGCAGTCCGTTCTTCTGTTGCTTTTAATCTTTCCTCTCTCCTCTTGTTAAACTCCGCCACTTCTTTCCTTTTCTGGAAGTCCACGTCCATTCTTGCAAGTCGGTCTTGCTCTTTCCGTCTCATCTGTCGATACTGTTTCCCAAAACAAGTTTTTAGATGGTAATCACTGATGATATATGAACACTAACATCTATTGTTAATTCTATAATTTAAGTACCTTTTTTTAGGACATAAACAGGGTTTTATAGCATTAGAATGCCTTTGATGGAAACTTGTACTAATTTATAGCTACTTCATTTAACAATATCAAATCTTTACCCCACCATCAATGAAGATGGTCAGTTTGGGTGCATTTGGTACACTGAACAGAACAGAACAAAACATGGATCATTATTCCATGTTTGGCATGACTTTTATGCGGAACAGGAACAAAGGGAAACATGCGTTTGCCACCCCCACCCCATGAAACAGGGTGGAACAAGCCTACACTTTACTAATGTACCCTCAAAACAAAACCTAATTCTCTTCTAAAACATCAAATATTATTTTTTTCATTGTATTTTATCCTCTTTGAACTTTCACTTTATTGTCCTCAAAATATTAATTCTATACGTTTTCTATATTTTGGTTGATTTATGTCGTTTACTAAATATTAATAATAGAAAAATAATATAGAGAAGGTATAAAACTAAAATTGGAAATTAATAAACTTCATATTTTGGTGTCGTTTTAATCGTCTTGACGAAAACTTTCTGATATATTTTAATATAAAAATATTTATTTTATTATAATTTAATATAAGTTCATAAATTAATCAAAATATAGAAAAGATATAAACAACTCACTAGGGACAAATTGGTCATTTTACAGGTCTTGTCTTACCAAACGCTAAACAGCTAGTTTGTCATGTCTAACCAAACACACCCTAAGAACAATTGCTCCCACCCACATACTCATTATAAAACCACTACATTTCTGGATCTGGACAGAGCCTCCAGGTCCATTCCAATTTCCAACTGAACGTAGAAAGTGGAAATTTTGACCTGCTTAGAAAACCAATGGCTTCCTATGAGGCTTTATAGATTTATCTATTGCTTTATAGATTAGAAAGGTAGATTTATCTTTTAATAAGCCTTTTCAGAATAAAATTATTGGCTCTTCCACAATCTCACTAAGAAAGAATATGAACATGTTCCTTGCTCACATTATAGTGCTTATGTAGCTTACTGAATGTTTATCCCCAGTGCAAGAGGCAGAGGAATGTAACAGATCAAAATGGACACTGTTAGTTGTCTGGCCATTGGAGCCCTACATCTATGTATTAAAGTTGGCTTATGAAAACAGACGCAAGAAAAGCACTTTGAATTGTTGATCAATATCCCTCTAACCATAACTGGAGGGGCATAAGGCAAAATCCTAAACCAAACCAAAACGAACCCATTATGTATCCCACCTAAGGTGGGGTCTAGGGAGGGTAAGATGTTGGCAACCTGACCAGTACCCCAAAGAGTAGAGCGGTTGTCTCCATGAAGATCCCAGGCTTGTGAAAAGTGTAACAATGACAGATATGATAAAAATTTGAAGAGCTGGCCAAGAGAAAGCAAAATCCTATCACATATGGAAAAACCCTAGGGGTTTCGGGTCCAATGACATGATCGAATCATGCTAGACATCTGCCTAAATTTAGTCATTTACCCTATATATCATTGTTCTCTCCAAAAAATATATACTCGTGTCCTGGTCTTTCACATTCCAGACTAGAAACAACAAGAGAGAAAGTAAGAAGATAGCAATAAGAAGTCCTGAGAGTGCTTCATCATGTCTCAAGATATAAGTTGCAACAAGAACATATTGCATTTTAGAGGGCACATTTGGAGCCTCTTAAAGGTCCGATCAAGTTAACAACTAATGGAAGAGTGAACGTTCATGGTAAAAGAAACACTACCTGCATATAATAAACATCTTGCAGAAATGTCTATGGTTATGACATTGTGCAAAATATACCTAATAAATTACAAATAAGGAAGTTATCACCCTTAAAACACAAAAAATTATACGGTATAAAAGCTTATTCCCTTCAATCTTCAACCAAAGAAGTAGAAACCTACACAATATCTTCATCAACTCAAGTGTTAAGCCAATTAAGAGTCCATATGTGCTTTGGTCAATCACTGGGAGAAACCAAACAGGAAAAAGAATTTACAGTAGAAATAACTTAGTGAAGGCTGAAGGTTATTGAATGTTCACCCGAGCTGCGGCCATTGAATCCAAGATTCTTAGACACATGATAGGGATATGGAGTTAACTATCCATAATCCATGGAGAGATATGGGCATTTCATGTGACACAAACACCATGCCATCTCCCCATTTTGATTTGTGATACATGATTATGCTTCAGGGACGAGCTTTTTTTTTATTTGATTTGGGAGGCATATGGGGTGTCCCTAACATGCTTATTTCTTCATATAATTTGGCACCAATATCAGATTTCCATTGAACTTAGCCTTACTTAATTTGGATTCTTATGGAGATCGTGGTGGAGTGAAAAGGGGGTTCACTATATTCCTTTCGAAGATAAGACATACTAGATGCGAATTTCAACTTCAATTCAACAATTAACACAAGTTAGAGGAAACACCTGATGGAAGTCTCCGGAGCCGGAACCGGCGGAACTACCAGAGGTATTGTTAACGCGAACAGGGACGCAATCAATTATGCGACGAAGCTTAACTTCGAGATCCTCCTCTTCCTGATTGGGTGCAGGAGGCGTGTATTCAACAAGAGCTGATGAAGAACCAGTCGGATGGAGAGGAGGAAGGGCGGCCAAAGCTGTTCTATCCGAAGACGCCGATACAATCTGTAAGTCTCCACCAGCAACGGCCGCCGCCGCCGGCCTACCTGAACTGGACATCTTTTTAACACCCTATCCCTTAAGATAATGTGAACAGAGAGGGATATCGACCTCCGGAGGGAAAAATCGTGGAGGGAGTAGACGCCGGAATACGATGCCGGAGGAAGCCGACGATCTCTATCTTGGAAATTTGTGCGAATGAATTTGGGATTGAATCATGTGCCCTAGGCCCAGTGGGTTATCTTTCAATCTTCTTGTACTGTTGGGCCAGCATCGATTGGGCTTTTTCTAAACTTGGAAGGAGTGTTTGGATAAAAAGTTTATACCGATGTCAAACCGGGTAATAAAGAGTTTTTGAAGAAGTTAAACCATTTTAACTTATCTATACTATCTTATTAAGCAAATTTAGCAAAAATTTTAACATCATAAAATACTAAATGACCAAGATACCTTTACATCACTTTTTCACCTTCTCCTCTCCTCACATACACTCTTGAACCGATTTTCTTAAAATTATAATTTTAAATTTACATTTTATACTCTTATAATTAGTTAATTAATTTACTTTACGTATTATACTTTTAAATGTTTCATTTTAATCCTTTATCAAATGAACATACATAATCGTATATTAATTAAAACATGTTCAAAAAATACATTTTTATTTTAACAAGTTACACCATTATAATTGTCTCGTTAATACCTTCGAAATGAGTCCAATATTGAATAGTTTTTGACTTAATTATATTATTATATATTATATATACTGTGAAAAAATATTTTTAATATTTACGATTTATACTTTTATAGTTATTTATTTATATATATACTATATATTTTGGGGTTAGGCTGTCCAAATTGCACTGTATAATATGTTCTTGGATTTTTTTTGAAATATATATATATACATGTATTAATTCAACCTTAATCTGAGTTTCTGGACATGAAAGAGGGTAAACAGTTGAAATTTCATTCTAAAACCCATATTTTTTGGTCTTTTCATGTCTAATGATCTATCAAATTTGTAGTTTTCTTTATTGGTTTTGAGTGTTTATCTTAAAACTCAAGTTCTTTGGTTATTTGCTCTTGGTGTAAATCGAACACATTTGTGGAGTCGTTTAAATATGTTGGATTTTAAATATATTGGATTTTAAACTGTCATACAATTTTTTTTCATCGATAGTCTGTAATTGGAACCATAACTCTTATTTATTCAAATTGTATTAATATGTAAAGACCAAATATAACCTATATCATCGTTTAATCTTATCTTATAAAACCAGTGGAACTTCAAAATCGTTAAAATGCATGGCTCCCGCCGCATTGCGCGAGTACACAACTAGTAATAAGTTGATAATGACTTCTTGTAGAAAATTATAAGGTGTTTCAAATAAGCAATCCCAAACACCTCTTTTATATCTGCAGTTTTAAAATTATAAGATGACGACCGTGATTTGTAAAAACGTGTAGGTTTAATCTCTTACCCGTTAAAAAATTGTTAAATGAAGGGTATTTTCATCATTTTATCAGTTTTTTTTTTGTGTTTTGCTCAATCAAAAATCACATGTGTTAATCTTGGATGATGTTATGAACAAAAGAGGAAATGCTTGAGCATGTGTTAGTCTTCGATGCCTCGTATTGGGCTACATATGACATTCTCTAGAGGATTTCTGACTGCAAAAATGCTTGGAAAGAACACAAGTGTGGATTGTTTAGGGCCAATGACCCTTGATTGTTCCACTCAATCGTTCCATGTTAGCAAGAATATAACAAACGGTCTTGATATGAACAATAAATACCCAAAACAGTCTATGCCAGACAATTCAATGAGCCATTCAGTGAGAGCGTAACAACTTTTTCATGTTACACTTAGAGGCCGTTTACCAAACTCTTATCCGGGTAAGCGCTTACCTAGTCACACTACCTTACCGGATAAATATGATAAAGACCAAGAATTTTAACCGGTAAGAACGAGACAAAGACCAATAGTCTTACTCGGTAAGTGAGAGCGACAACTCTTACCATGGTAAGAGCTTACCGGGTAAATTGTTGCATACGATATCGTTTTGTTGGACTAAAATCTTACCCAGTAAGTCAAAGATAGTGTTAAAATTTACTGGTAAGCGCTTACCGGGTAAGTATTTGCTTAAGTAGCTAAAAGAACAATTCATGATCCATTCCATGGCCTACTAGCAAAAGGGAGAATTTATGACATTGTTGGTGTTGGTGTGACAAGACCCAGAAAAATATCCTACCAGTTATGTATCAGGAAGACAGTTAGGACATCACTTCATTTGATGTAAACCAAGCTCAAGGAAAATTTTATGCACGTTTTGCATAATGACCCCAAAACACGACCTAATCAAACAACCCGCTCTTGATCTTAATAAAATGTACATTAAAATTGGGGGTTTTATCAACGCGTATGAGTCGAAGCACAAATGCAAGCCTTTGGATGATAAGAGGATCAAGAAAATGATGACGGTGGACGAGGAGAGAGAGGGGATGGGAGAAAAGATATATGGTAAAAGAAAATCTTAGTTTTGGTTTTATCTGAAGTTTCAATTTACAAACTTCATTTAACCAATCATAATTTTTCACTTTGTTAATGTTTTTTTGTAATTATGAGAGGTTGATTAATCATTTTTATTATGGAAAGTGTTACTTATGGATATTATCATCTTCATTATTAGAATTTTAGAGAAATACATGAAACAGTTTCGTTAAAATTTCATTAAGTATTATATGAAACAATTTCATAACCATATATGAAACAACTTCATCAAAAAAAGTATTTTATGGAACACAATTTCATACAATTAAACAATGAAATCGACGAATGAGTGTGGTTTGCACGGTTTGTACAAACATAGATGGTTTATATTTGATCGCTCATCTCTCTCCCTCCCTCTTTCTCTCTCTCTCTCTCTCTCTCTCTCTATATATATATATATATATATAGAGGAGCGATCATATGAAAACCGCCCTCATTTGTGTAAACCGTGCAAACCACCTTCATCTGTCGATTTCATTGTTTAATCTTATAAATTTTTTTCATGAAATTGTTTAATCTTGTGAAATTGTTTCATATAATACTTTTTTTGATGAAGTTGTTTCATATATGGTTGTGAAATTGTTTCATATAATACTTAATGAAACTGTTTCATGTATTTCTCTAACATTAATGAAACTGTTTCATGTATTTCTCTAAAATTAAAATAATGAAGATGATAATATCTATGATTAACACCTTCCACAATAAAATGATTAATCAACCTCTCATAATTACAAAAAAAATGAACAAAATGAAAAATTATGATTGGTTGAATGCGGTTTGCACGGTTTGTACAAATTGAGTGGTTTGCATTTGATCGTTCCCCTATATATATATATATATATATATATATATATATATTTCATGATTAAACAAATCAACAAAGACTTTGATTGTTGTATTTGTATAGGAAATCCATCAAACGAACATACTACAAATACAAACATATCAACTTTAATGATTAATAATACATCCACGTTATATCACCTTCACTTTCTCCATAAACCATCAAACCATTATTGTAACCTTTTTTTACAAGTTTCTAATAATTGGTGATGGATTATATCCCTATACACTCAAGTAACAATGTTGAGGCGTATCCCCATCCCTAATCAACTCAGAATTTGCTCAGTTAAATCAGGTTCAGATATCGAATTCTTCATTGGATACACGTTTTTTGCCACCGTCAACTAGGATGAGAGACTAAATCCAAAATTAATTACAAACATGAAAGGCTTAACATAAATAAATAAAATTTAAATAAAACTACCGCAACCAAATTCATAATTTACTCAAAAATTATATACATTATTATTTTTGGAAGATATATATATATACATACTACTTTATAAACCAGATTTATCAAAAGTGTTCAAAACAATTTTTAATGCACAAAATACTATACATTTATGCACACAATCATAAAAGTTTTAAAAACAACTCATAATGCATTAAGTATTACTACTTTATACATTTAGGGGTTGTTTGTTTACCTCTCAATAGTTCCATTAAAAGACAACATCTGAATCGTTAAAAAGTGAATCTTGTTTGACAAAATAAAAGTCTGTCTCTTAACGGTTTTAAAACTCTCTGAAAGATTTTGTATCCTGGATCTCTCTTAACCATTAAGAGCCCTAATTTCATTGTACACAATTCACAAACAATTATTTTTCATTTTGCACTATATCATGAGAGCCTCTTAATCGTTCTGACCACTTAATCATTCTACACCAAACCATTCAGCAATTGCCAAACAACCCCTTAGTCTTAAAATATATTAATCTACAATTAAAATAACATATAATACAAGTTACCAATGCATTATTACTTTTTATTTTCATGTTCCCAAGATACTTTTGACACCTTTCACTCATGACTTCACCCTCTCATACCTCTATATCTTCTCCTCATCCCCCAATATGAGATTCAAACTGATATTCACCATGAGTTATTAAAAGTTCTCATATTCAATTGCTATAGAACTCTAGGTCTCACTCTCGATCTCTTGATTATTTGCTTTTGGTGTAAATCGAACACATTTACTAAGTCGTTTAAATACGTTGGATTTTAATTTGTCATACAATTTTTTTCATCAATAAACTTTAATTGGAACCATAACTCTTATTTATTCAAATTGTATTAATATGTAAAGACCAAATGTAATTTTATATCATCGTTAAATTTTCTCTAATAAAATTAATAAAACTTCAAAATCGTTAAAATTCACATCTCCCGTCATATTACACGAAGACAATGGTACACTGTTTAATAAAAAGAAAGTAGACCGGAATGGGCAAGAGATATAAAATAAAGCAAGGAGCGGAGGGTGAAGAAAAGGCCGTTAGAGATGTGAGGCCCACAGCTCGATGAGTTGTTTGTCGTTTTGTCCACCTCATCACCTTTTCTGCTTTTTCTTTTTTGTTATATCAACTTGGCACCATATCAAGTCTCAAGTGCACTCCAGCCTGGCATATATTCATCCTTATCCTCCTCCTATTTTCTATATATTATTAAATAAATATATCATTTCCATAAATAATAACCGCATCAGATTACTTATTTAAAATAATTTATATTTATTTACAGAAGTCTTTATTAACTTATTATAAGTTAAAATAATTTAATTTTTTTAAAAAAATTTTATTACCAATTTTATTACATTAAAAAATATTTATTACCGATGTCACATCAAAATAAATTAATAAATTAATAAATTATTTATATCTTCAAACCACCGTGATTCATAAAAATGTGGGAATTTGCTTTCCTGTTTAAAAATGGTGTTAAACATATGAAAGGAACTCGAATATTTTCAACAAGATTACAGGGCGAGATATCTCATGACACAATCGAAACACTCACCTGATGACACGTGTAATGTGTACAGCTGTACGCTTCTCAACTACCTACTTCAAAACTCCCGTACCCATAACGTCTTTTTGGAGCATCAGACCCTCTATAAAAACCAAAATCCATCTTCCCCCTGTTCATCTTCCCTGTTCTTCTTTCTGTTTCATGGACTCATCTAGAAAACATTTGGATCGGATCAAGGGACCATGGAGCAGCGAAGAAGACGAGTTATTGTGTAAGCTAGTAGATCGGTACGGTGCACGGAACTGGACGTTGATTAGCAAATCGATTCCAGGGAGATCTGGTAAGTCGTGTCGTCTCCGGTGGTGTAACCAGCTGTCGCCGGAGGTTGAGCATCGGCCTTTTACGTTAGAGGATGATCAGGTTATACTCCAGGCGCATGCTCGGTTTGGGAACAAATGGGCTACGATCGCTAGGTTGCTCAACGGACGTACGGATAACGCGGTTAAGAACCACTGGAACTCGACGTTGAAGCGCAAGTGCACGGCGGTGGACGGCGGAGATCGAGGAGAGAGAAACTCGCAGAGGCCGAAGATGTCAGATAGAGATTTCAATGCGACGGTGACCAGTATCTCAGGTACTGGTAGTCTATCCGGATCCGATTTGTGCGATTCATCAGGCAACAATATTCCGTTAGTGTCGGTTGCAGAAATCTGTATTACCTCGTCGGAATTTCAACGTAAGGTTGAAACGGAGCCTCCGACGGCGTTAACTCTGGCGCTCCCTGGAACAGGTTCGTATTTGTATGACATCTGTGATCAAAAACCAGCAAAGAAGTTGAATGCAACGCCGTTTGGCGAAGAGGTTCATTCAATGATGCAAGAGATGATCCGTAGCGAAGTCAGAAAATACTTGGCATCTGAAGAAAACTTGATGCAGGTAAGGAATGCAGGTGTGAAGCGTATTGGTGTTAGCAAAAGTGATTATTGACAAAATCTCAATTAATGTTTAAATCCATAGAGCTTGTGGTTTGATTCAAATTAATTTGGAGTTAATTAATACATACAATTAATATTTGAATATTATGGATTATGGAAAATTGATTTTGGGGTCTTTTTTGAATCATATGAAAACATATAACCGATTATTGATGTTGTTTTGTATCTAATGTTTATATATTTGCTAAATATTGTTTATGATTTGGTTTGTTTAATCACTTCAACCATTGGCCGAGAATGGGTGCACCATTAAAGTTGATCATAGGCCCTAAAGTGGTCAATGGAGTTTTAACCGAATTCCACGGTTTTGAGAGATTCGTTGAGTTCTTTTTGGTTGATTTCAAATGAATTTCTTGAGTTCTTTTTTTTTTTTGTTGATGATTTGGAGACTTTTTGTTACGAATCATAAATCAATTTTAATTTGTTAAAAGATAATTTAATTAATGAAAGGACGAAAATGCTCCCTAATTTAATGGACTTTTTGACAGTCGTTAGAGGAAGGACCAAATCTGTACGTTTTTGCAAACAACGATGACTGTTTTGTAATTTTGAAACTACACGAACAAAAAGTGTTATTTTTGACAAATTACAAGGACCAAATTTGTAGTTTACTCTATTTTCTAATATTACGTAACAACCTTCAAAGTTAATGAATGCATATTTCATACCCAAAATCATTATACTTGCGAGAACATGTTGAGCAGGTGCACGGGACCCGCTCAGAGCTTCATAGTAATTTTATAAAATATGTATGATTGGTTATAGTTTAAAATACGTAAATGTTACTAATAATTTGGAAAAACACATCAAGCTTCATCTATTTTACATTAATAATCTGAAATAAATAAACAAAATTTAAATTATTAATTTAAATCATAATTATGATTTATGAAATTTGTTTTCTTAAAATAGGAATCGGATGAAAATCCAGTATTTATGTAATTTACCTTAATTAGAAACAATTTATCAGAAATGGTTAAATTCATTTGTGGACAACAACATTTTTAACAAATATGATCATTACTTTATGAGTAACCTATGTATATAAACAATAATTCACTTACAATTTCAAGTATAAAGAAGTAAAGGTGGGAAAAGACAAGGTTGGGGTATCGCATCTGTAAAATGTCGACAACATCATATCTTAGAGAATGGTTGTGAATATATGCTAGAAATCTATTGGGTATTCTTAAATGTTTTCGGTTGGCATGTGGCTTAAAGATGAATTTCAACAAAAGCAAGTTGTTTAGTGTTGGGCTGTTCTTAGGAGGCATGGAAAATATGGCTAATTGTTTAGGGTGTAGGGCCGGTTCATTACCTTTAATTTATCTGGGGTATGTCAGTTGGTGCAAACATGAGACGTCTGGTGGATTGTCACTCTGTGATGGAGAAGTTCAATAAAAGATGGGCGTACTTGAAAAACCAAAACGATGTCTTCCAGCAACAGGTTTAACCCTTGTTAAGTCGTCTCTTGGAAGCCTTCCATTGTATTTTTTTTCTTCCCGATGTTCCATGCACCATTGAGCATGTTAAAAACTCTTGAGATAATGAAACGAGAGTTCTTATGGGGAGGCTGGAGTAGGGTGAAGTTGACATGGATTAGGTGGAACACGATCCTTTCTCCTCTAGAATTGGAGGCTAGGCATACGGAATCTCAAAGCCATGAACTTTGCTTTGTTAAGAATGTAGTGATAGGGATTCTAGACCGAAAACGATTCTAGAGGTAGCGGTATTTGGGAAGACATCATCTCCTTGGGCCAGGACTTCGACAATTATGTTGCGGAATTTTCTTCATCTTTCATCAAAAAAAAAAAAACTTGGGGTGGGGCATTTATCTTGTGTTGGTTGGACAATTGGGTCGGGAATTTTCGATTGAGTGATCATATTTTTTTGGTAATCATGGGCTTTCAGATCAACTTATGCGGACTAACTAATTCCCGATCGACTGCGAATGGCCTGGAATACTCGTATCTTGAGGTTGTTTAATTTGGAAAAAAGAGGGGGTCAAGGTGAGGAATAGAGGCCCTTGGCGTAGGGGTAGGTAGAATTGGACTATATACCCTGGGGGGAGGGTCACAACTGAATCATATGATTGCTTTGTTACAAAAAATATATCATTTTGATGATCGCTAAGGAAAGTGTTGTGGCTTTTTGGAAGATGACGGGAAGTTCTCAGATAAAATGTTGAAGACCTTAATAGAATATAAATATCTCGAAGATGTTGGGAAACTCGATGGAACAATCTCATTCCTATAATGATCAACATTTTAATATGGTACCAAAGGGCCTTTGGCTTAGCGGTATGTGAGTCATTGGCCTTCTAAGAGGTCAAAGGTTCAAACCTTACCAAAGATGAAGAAGGTGTGTGAGTTTATTTGTTCTATTTGCCATATATAAATATTATATACTTAAAAAAAACATTTTAATATGGCATGTGCTTCACAATAGACTTCTAGGTCAAGTTGCCTTGTATAATTGGGGTATTGCCTAGGGATCGGTTCTTGGCACTACTGGAAAACTGGGCATCCAGAAATTTACCCACGGACAACAAAAACTCAACTTTAGTTGATTTCCGCCGAAAATCCGCCGGTAAATATTTTCCGACATTATTTTCGGCGGATTTTACAAATTAAATTTTTACGAAATAATTAACTCTAATTACAATAAGTTACCGACGGATTTTTTTCTTCGTTTTTCATACTTTTGGATTAATATATATGTAAAATATTACATACATTTCACATGAAATATATAGTGGATAATAATTCTCTTATCAAGTCCAACACACACACATACATGTATGCAATACATACCTATATAAAAACACATTATCCGAAGTTACTGTTATTATTGGACTTTAAAAACTATAAAAAAAGTCTGATTTGGGTTTAACGGTCTTAATTGAGCCCAATACACACCATATGTTCATATTTAATACATGTCTTTTCACAAATACGAATTACATTTTAATGGATGTTAGTTCGGTTTTAATGGTTCTATTGTGGTTTTATGGTTCTTATTGGGTTTTTACAGAATCTATTGGGCTTTAACAGATCTATTGGGCTTTAATGGATGTTAGTTGGGCTTTAACTGTGCTATTGGGCTTTACTGGATTTATTGGGTTTTATTTTATGTGTTTTTAAGAAAACGATAATGATTTTTTTTTGAATAAAATATAAATTTGAAAATATAATAAAAATTTGAAAAACAATATATCAATATTAGTATCAAATTAAATTTTTAAAAGTTCTCAAATTTTTGTGTAATTTTTGTAATTTTTTTATTATAATTTAATTTAAATTTGATAATAAAGTAATTTATTTTTGATATAATACTATAACATTTTATAAATATAATTAAGTATTCTGTTAGAACTCAATTATTATCTTAATTAAATTTTAGATTTTTTATATTTAAAATAAAATGTTTATCTTGTATTTGATTATGTTTATCTGCAGTTAGTTACACGAATTCAAACCTGAAGCTTTAATAAGTTGTACTTATGTACAATTTACTTGTAATTTTTAAGAATTTTTGTCAAATGCCTTATAATATAACTAGAAGAGTACTCACGCAATGCAGCGAGATATATCTTGATTTCATTGTTTCGTTTTATATTTTGGGTCTATCAATATTATTATGCTATGTGGTTCTCAGAAAAAGAAAACGTTTTGATTATTGAATGAACTATAAATTTGAAGATATCATAACATTTTGAAAAAATAAGTGATATTAGTATTAAATTAACTATTTAAAAGTTCTTGTTTTTATATAATTTCTTTGATTCAAATTTTTATTATAATTTAATTAAAATTTAAAAACGAATTAATTTATATGTGTTTTAATAATATAATTTTTTATAAAGATAATAATTAATTATTTTGTTAGAACTCAATAATTATCCTAATTATATTTTAAATTTTTTATATTTTAAAATGAGGTGTTTATTCTCTATTTGATTATGTTTATCCGCAGTTAGTCACACGAATTCAAACATGGAGCTTTAATAAGTTGTACATACACATAATTTACTTGTAATCTTGAATTTTAAGTATTATGTATCAATAAACACTGCTTCATGCATAAAAAACGGTTTTTAAAATTTTTTGTCTAATGCTTTATTATATAGTATAGATATAGATTCTTTATGCATGAAGTCCTGTTTGTTAATGCATATTACTTAAAATTTAAGATTACAAGTAAATTGTGTGTAAGTATATATTTTATTAAAACTCAATTTTTGAATTCGTATAACTAACTGCAGATAAATATAATCAAATATAGGCTAAACATTTCAATTTAAATATAAAAAAATCTAAAATATAATTAGGATAACTCATTGAGTTCTAACATAATTATTATCTTTAAAAAATGTTTTGTTGTTAATCCAAAAATAAATTACTTTGCTATTTGTTCTAAAGTAAATTATAATAAAAAATTGAATTAAATAAATTGTACAAAAACACAAAAACTTTTAAATAGTTAATTTGATATTAATATCGATATATTTCTTCAAAAAATTTATGATGTCTTCAAATTTATTTTTATTCAAAAGTAAAAATATTATCTTTCTCAAAACCACATAAACTGTATTATATTAACAGAGACAAAAAAATAAAACGAAACATTAAAATAAAAATACATCTCGTTGTATTGCGCGAATATATATATACTTCTAGTTAAATAATAAATATACTTGGTGTATAAAATAGAAACTAAAGTAAGGGATGTAATTGAGAAATATGAAAAAAGTTAAAAGCAACAAATTGTAAAAATTATAAGAGTCAAAAATAAAATTATGTAAAAGTTAGAAATAAAATCATAAATGCATTGTTTTTAGTGTTAATTTATTGCTTTAGTGTAGAGAGTAGGGGTGCTTAAAAACCCGATCAACCCGATTAACTCGATCAACCCAAGCCAACCCAAGCCAACCCAACTCAAGCCAACGCGAAATAAATCAACCCGAAACAACCCGATGTTTAATTGAGTTGTAAAATTTTGAAATCGCAAGTATTGGGTTGATATTGAATTACTATTATTTGAATCCAACCTAACCCGATGAACCGATATCTTTTTATTTCTTGGATTTAATATGATTGTTGAATTTCTACTAATATATAGATTAAACAATTACACTATCATGTACGCTCTTCATATACTCATATTTTCAATCTATTTACATCTCTATATAACTCATTCGTATATATGTTCAGTAACTGTGAACATATATATGTAAATTGAGAAAATCAACTGAATGTGATATACATAAGAAATATGGATAAGTTATATCAAATAGTTGATGATGAAAAATAAATTATGAGTAGAGAAATAACATATTCAAGATTAGAAGAACATTTTAATATACCAAAGTATCAATCAACCAACCCGTACGGGTTGGGTTGGGTTGCACTTTGGTTTGAGTTAAGATTTTTCAAACTGCAAACATTGTGTTGGGTTGTTCAAATGTCTTTAACCCGTCCAGCCCAACCCATGAGCACCCTTAGTTTTTAGCGTAGAGAGTATGAAAAGTCTTGTAGGTTTATATAGTAGGGAATATTATAATATTTACTTAAAAAATCCATTTACTAAAGAGCATCGTCTTTTTATCATTTTTTCTTTTACTTGATCATAATCTACAAGAACGAAAATCATAGAATCAACATGAATAAATCATGTGGTAATTATTTTTTATATCTAAAAATAATAAAATAAAAATGAAAATTAGTTTAATCAAACCAAGTAATAATATACAAAACCGGTTCTAAGAACACCAATATGAGAAAGACATTCAACTGAGACATGTTTTATATTTAAGCAAAGTCGTATCATCCATTTATGAACTATGTTTCAAAGGTAACATCTACGGGTTCACATGAGATCAAAAGTTTTTTCGTGAGGCCCGTAAGACCAATTTATGTTCATTGATCAACTTTATAAGCTACTGATGTAAAGTTGCACGGTGGCAATTTTGTGATTATTGAGAAGTCTCGTGACGTTTATGGATGTTCAGATTGTCATATTGTAGATATAATCCAAAGGTTAAGAATTGGTCTTACGGGTCTTATGAAAAACTATTGATCTCACATGATCCCAAGTCTTTTATGTTCATTAAAATCATATGATTTTGAACACGAATAGTCAAAAAGACTTGGAACGAAAATAAAATATATATGTCAACATGCGAAAACAATGATTATGACTTCGATTTGAAAAATTACTTTTAAAACACATCCAAATGTTTTTATCACCACATAAATACTTAAAATTGTTTTAAAACACAAATGATTTTTATTTGTTAATTACAACAAATAAAAAAAATCATGAGTTACTCTCGTGACCATTTCTCCGTTTCCGTTTCCGATATCCTCGTAACCATTTCTTCTTATGAGTGTTTGAGATTGCTTATTTGAAACAACTTATACTAGGGGTGTTCAAAAAAAATTGTTGGACCGCTCCTGGTCGAACCAAGTCAAACCGGATCGTTTTTGGCAGTTTAAGCGGTCTAACGGTTTGGTCTGGTTTGGAAAATAGTAAAACCGGGCGGTCCGATCCAGTCTGCGGTCTGGAGCCTTGTTTGGACCAAACCGACCGTTAAATATATTTCTAAATCCAACATAAAGCTTAACATCTAACATAATCAAACCATTAAACATATCCATACATTTGATATTGACGGTCTCTAAATTTTGAAGTCCCTCAAGAACTCTATCAATCTATCGGTCTTTCCTAATCCATGGTTTGATTTCGTCGCACATCCTCAAAACATCAACCAAATGATTTAACCAACTAACATTTGGCTTCTATTTTGTTTGGTCAAGAACTCAAGACTTAAAAATTGAAGGCTATGAAGTCGTGAATTTTGTTACTCAATACTCACAGTAGAGTTGTAGCTTTGGTAATTTGTTTGTTTTCTAACATGTATTATATATTTATTTGTTTGGACTTTAGATTGCTTGGACTTTGGATTCAAGAGTTGCTTAATTATTACATTTATTTGTTTAAATATTTTATTTTGTTAAAATGGATATTTAATCTAAAATTCTAAATTCTATATGTTTTTTAAGTTTAATATTTAAGTCCATTAAAGGTTCAAACCGTCTAAACCGGTCAGACAAGCCCGCCTTTTCGTGGTCTGGTTTGACCGGTCTAGACACTTGATGTCAAACCGCTCGGTTTGAAAATTTTATAAACCGTCATTACGGTTTGGTTTGTGGTCTGAGGGGTTAAACCGTCCAAACCTGACCGTGAACACCCCTAACTTATACTTTTCTACAAAAGTTCTTATTAATTTATTATGAGTTAGAATGATTTAACTTCTTCAAAAACTTGTTATTACCGGTTTGACACCGGTATAAGTTATTTATCCAAACATTCACAAGCATTTATTACAGGTATCACACCGAAATAAGTCAACAAGTTGTTTTTATAATCAACCTAAACACCCCCTTAATTAATATCAACCATTTCTCCATTTCCGTAATTAAACCATTTCTTCTTAATTAACCATTTCTTATATAAACCCTCATAACCCTTTCTTCTTCTCCATCACTCACTCTCTCTACTTTGTATCTCAACAATGTCTTCCTCTCCTGCTCTTTATATTCCCAGGCTATCTTCTTCGGTGTTTACTTTCCCACTCTTTCTCTGCGTCATCGTTTTTGTCTCAGTTTTYGCTTTCCTCCTTGCTCCCGGCGGTCTAGCATGGGCTCTCTCCAAATCCCGAACTAAAACCGCCATTCCTGGTCCTTCTGGTCTCCCCATTTTAGGCCTTGTCTTTGCTTTCACCTCCTCTTTGACTCATAGAACCCTTGCRAAACTTGCTACCACCTTCAATGCRACGCSTCTAATGGCGTTTTCYGTTGGGTTCASTCSTTTTGTYATCTCCAGTCATCCGGAGACTGCCAAGGAGATACTCAACAGCTCCGCGTTTGTTGACCGCCCGGTGAAGGAGTCGGCGTATGAGCTTTTGTTTCACCGTGCCATGGGTTTTGCTCCTTATGGTGAGTATTGGCGTAACCTTAGAAGAATCTCCGCAACTCATTTGTTTAGCCCTAAAAGGATATCGGGTTTCGGGGTTTTCAGGGAGAGAATCGGCCTCAAAATGGCGAATCAGGTTTCTTCTTCCATGGACCATAACGGTGTTGTGGAGATAAAGAAGTTGCTCCACTTCGCTTCGTTGAACAATGTGATGATGTCTGTGTTTGGCAAATCATATGACGATTTCGGTGTTAATGGCAGCGATGGGTTTGAGCTTGAGAAGCTGGTGAGTGAAGGATACGAGCTTCTCGGAATCTTCAACTGGAGTGACCATTTTCCGATTGTTAGCTGGTTCGATTTCCAAGGGGTAAGGAAGAGATGCAAACATTTAGTCTCAAGAGTCGATGTTTTCGTTGAAGCAATCATCAACGAACACCGTGAACGAAGGTTTGAGAACCGCGGAGCTACTGTTGTTGACGATGGCGACTTTGTTGATGTTCTGCTTGATTTGGAATCGGAAAACAAATTCAGTGATGGTGATATGATCGCTGTTCTTTGGGTATGTTTCATTTCACATAATTTCTGCCATTACGCTTTTTCATTTCTTAATAATTCCATTAATGATCTTTTTGTAGGAAATGATCTTCAGAGGAACCGACACGGTGGCAATCCTGCTGGAATGGATTATGGCGAGGATGGTATTACACCCAGACATTCAAGCCAAGGCACAAGCTGAAATCGAAAATGTGGTTGGATCGGGTCGCCCCGTATCAGATGCAGACCTCCCCAACCTGCCTTTCGTCCATGCAATTGTGAAAGAAACCCTCCGTGTTCACCCACCAGGCCCACTCCTATCATGGGCTCGACTCGCCATCCACGACACCCAAGTGGGTCCACACATGGTTCCAGCCGGGACTACGGCAATGGTCAACATGTGGTCCATAACCCACAGCGATAAAATCTGGGTTGAACCCGAGATGTTTAATCCAGATAGGTTTATGGATGAAGAGGTGGCGATAATGGGTTCTGACCTCCGTTTGGCTCCGTTTGGTGCGGGTAGGAGGGTTTGCCCCGGAAAGGCAATGGGTTTGGCTACAGTGCAGCTATGGTTAGCTCAGCTGCTTCAGAACTTCAAATGGGTCGCAGCTGAATCGGATTCGGGTATGGTTGATTTGTCAGAATGTCTGAAGATGTCATTGGAAATGAAGAAGCCATTGGTGTGCAAGGCTGTGGCTAGGGTTTGATAGTTAGTTAACCGTATTTCCACTTCGAAGCATGCATTTTGTACACCAGCTTTTGCATGGGACATATTAACCCATTTAATAACAGAATATATATTAATTTTGGATTGTCTTTTAACAAGAATATAACTTCATTAAATCTTTATATATGCATGGTCACAACATTATGATATATACACCAAAGATTAGATATATAATCATAAGGTGATGCCTAATTGGTTTGAGTTTGGCTTCAAAGGTCAAAAGTACCAGGAGGTCTCAGGTTCAAATCCATGGAGAAATAAAAATCTCTTTGTGGCCACAAATGTTCAAATACGGTGACTCCGGGCTATCTGCAAGGCAGGTGGTCGTCATGAGATTAGTTGGCTCGCATAGCAGATTGGATATCCAAGTTAGTTAAAAAAAGAAAGATTAGATATACTTTTAACATCAAACTTAAATAAATAGATGAACTAATTAACGTATTTATGTAAATCAAGTTGCATGAACATTCCGACTTGTAACAACAGATTAGCATAGGATATAAACATGTGTAGGTTTGTCTAAACACGTCGCAACATTTCTCTAAAATCTTAATATGTAATATAACGAGACCACATTTTGAGCTCTTCAGCACTAAGGGGCTGTTTGATAATTGCTGAATAGTTTGTTGCAGAATGATTAAGTGGTCATAATGATTAAAAAGCTCTCAATATAATGTAAAATGAAATATAATTGTTTGGTAATTGTGTACAATGAGATTAGAGCTATTAATCGTTAAGAGAGATCCAAGATACAAAATCATTCAGAGGGTTTTAGAATCATTAAGAGACAATTTTTTTTGCCAAACAAGATTCACCTTTTAACGGTTTAGAAGTTGTCTCTTAATGGAACTATTAAGAGGTAAACAAACAACCCCTAAGACTGAACACCAAAGACTAAGTGTCGTTTACCAAATGCATATTCATCAAGAACATGATCAAAATATTTTATAAGGCGACTTTGCATTTTTGCCAAACTGCCAAAGTATAATTTCTACGGTTTTGGATTAAATAATAACTTAAAATTCTCAAAAACGCAAAAAACCAAAATATTAACGTAACCAGGCTCATGACCATCCCTAGCTAGCTGCCATCGGAGAACAAATAATTAATCACCTCCTTGACTCGTAGCTTGTTCACGAACAACGTCTCAAGTAGTAGCAAAAGGCACAAACGAAAGGGATTTTTTCTGAACTATCTGATATTTAATTAATTACATACGTTCTGCAAATAGAACTCGTACACACTGTCATTTTCATGAGATTGAGACCCTTTACCTTTAGATAAATTGGATTATGATGTACCACCCCTTTACCTTTAGATAAATTGGATTATGGGGTACCACCGGCTCAAACGCCTTTCTGGTCAAACGAGACAATTGCAAAATATTTCTAGCCCAGAATACAACGTTGTTGCACAATTCATATATCAGTATATCACCATGGTGCTTATTGTTAATTTCAAGAGAAAAAGAATTACAGATGTCTTCTCAATTGTGAGTCGGAATAATGGAATTGAAGCTACACATAAATATAAGGTACGAGGGTTTAAAACAAAATGATAATGATACTATCTAGAAGATAATTATGGCTAAGCTAAAGAACCTACTGTCTAGGAGATAATGGCTAAACTAATCTATAGTCTATATCCACATGGGAATGCTCCTTTACAAGTAACGACAATTTAGATGAACCATAGGAATGAGATTGATTTGCTTTAACAGTACGTTTGTGACCATGGACGCTGAGAGGTGGTTCGATGCTATGACTAGCTACCATGTTAGTTTTGTGCCAAATGTTACGCTTCTAGAAGTAATTCAATTACGTCTTCACTAGAAATGTACTTGAAAATAATGTTTTCTCCATATAAAACCTTCTTCTTGTTTATTGGATCACCTGTCTAATCTACAACAAAATGGAGTGGTTGAACGGAAAAGCCTTCACATATCTGATATGATGTTTATGCCGCACTGACATTCCTCGATCATCAACCGCTTGTTGTCTCCAAAGATATTCAACAAATCTCCTTCGTTTTGAACTATTATTTCATTATTCCCTTAATTATACAATTCTATTGTAACACCAAACGTCTTTGTTTTTTCTTCTTTGATTGGAGCTATTCGTTCTGATCATCAATATCACTTTGTCGGTTCGGTTTTACTTACTTTGTGCATTTCAAATACTTCCTTACTTTTGCAGATTATGACTCGTACTTAATGTTCCATATCGATCTATGTTGATGAAGATATTATGAAAAGAAGTTCAAATGCATTTGCTTATGGTTGATACATAAGCTACATGCTCAATTTGCTCTCAAATCCTTGTATCAATTGAGTTATTTTCTTTGAGTTAAGCAGACTAGAGTCCACTTAGTACATAGACGAGAATGAACATGATTGGCCAATTGAGAAAGTAGGTAGGTAAAAGAATTGTGCAATGTTTTAGGAGTTTAATTTGACATGTTCAGTTTAGTAATTTGTCAACCTTATTTCATCTTCCTAATTTTTGTTTCAACCTCATTCAATATTGTCCTGTTCCTATGTTAACTCGCCCCAAGCGTAACAACAATTTTTTGGTCATGTCATCTCATGTCATGTTCCAAGTTCAAACCATCACTTATGGTTTAGCCATATACCGTATTTAATTTACTCAATCTCCTTGTTCTAAGTGTCGTGTGTGTGTGTGTGTATATATATATAGCAGTGAGTTCATTTGTTAACCCAATATATGGTGTTAACTTTGTGAACCAATCTTATCCATTGATCTTTGAAATTTGTAGCTAAGATCATTCGTGATATAAAGTATAAATAATTGCACATATAAAAAAGGTAACATAAGTGAACATTGTTTACAAGGGGTATTTTGGGAAAAAAAAATTAGTTGTCCATTAATGACAATGAGATGTTTTGTAACCGTCCATTAAAGACAATGAGATGTTTTGTAATTGCCCAATAGTAACAATGTAACTATCTGGAAATTAACATGAATCTCACAAATTTTAGAGTTCTCAAATGATTAAGCACCTATATATAGGTGGAGGTTTAAACGAAAACATCTTTATTTTATGAAAATGCAAGAACACCCATTTATTATAGTCAATCATATGTGATACTATAGTCCATCACATTTGATACACATTTTTACTAAATCATATAGGCAAACAACCTTTGGCATGACCTAGGTTGTGGGCCAAGTTTCCCACACATCACAAGGCCCTCTATCACATGTGATAAGGTGTTCTCCATGTGATACTATAATCTATTGCATATGATACACATGTGATACAAAAACAGAGATGCGGCGACCTTTGGCGTGACCCAAATCAAGGCCAAGTCGTTCGCACATCACCGAGGCCCCTCATATGTATTATCATATGTGATAAGAGTGTTCTTCACATTTTCGTAAAATAGAGGTGTTTTATTTGAACCTCCACCTATATATGTTTGGTTAACAAATAAAGGGGCATGTATATGTATATATATATATATATATACACACACACACTACCTTTTAAACCAAATTTCATAAAGTCTTAAAAACAACCCAAAATACATAAGGTACTACTTTTTTTATGCATGAAGTCTTAAAATCTCTTATTTTATAAGTTAACAAGCATGATGTACAAGTAGTTAATTCTTTTTTGTATTTCCACATGCTTCCAGCCTTTTGGATTCTCAAGACTCATATGCTTCCAGCATGATGTACAAGTAGTTAATTCTTATTTTATAAGTTCAAATGGGTTAGGACTGTTTAGATTTGCAATGGCTTTTGGCTTTCTCCAAAGCTTCGTTTGGAGTTGAGTTTTATGCTTTTTAGATATATACTTTGGAACTTTAAAGTTGATTAGATTTATCGGTCTTTAACAACTAATTGGATCAACTTTATGAATTGTTGGGAAATTTCATTGAAACTTTTTACTCTAAGAGTTTTAACTTTTTTATTTTGAAGCAAATCTACTTCCAATGGATGTGTTTTAATTTCGGGTTTTGAGGAATGTAACACAATCTTTTAGGGGTTTTTGTGTCTAAGATTTCAAGATTATGCAGTTGATTTCCATTATTTCTCTGTTTATTTCAAATTTTCACTTGAATCAGTGTAGTTTGATAGATGGGTACGTAACTTTCTTTGAAGCCAGTGCCTTTAATTGAGCAATACTCATAAACTCATAATAGAAACACCACCACGAAATAAGGCCCATCTCAACCTTGAAAACAACAGCCCATCGAAGCCCAACAATTTAGTTCGAAAAAAGCCCAAATTAAAAAGGTAGCCAGAGTACTAAATTTTAGATATGACGTTTTATAATTTGATCTTATAAACCTAAGTTCTATAAAATATAATATTAGGACGTTTAAAGAACCTAGACGTTCTATAAAGCCTATTTTCTTATAGTGTATCTAAAAGTGTTACGATAGATTTATAAGATAATTTATTTTAAAAGCTTCTTAAAAAGAAACTTGTTAAAACGTTTAAGAACATCTTATAAACCTATTGTAATGTTTTTGGATATAACGTTTTATAGTTTTACCCTATAAACCTGAGTTTTATAAAGTATTCTATTAGAACACTTAAATAATGTAAACGTCTTATAAATCCAACTTTATTATAGTAAGACACGTAGGAAATAACCCCAGAAACCTACCATTATAAAATAAAATCCTTAAAATGAATCGTGCACGACATTAACAAGTGATTAATAAAGCTTCTAGATGAACGATAACGTGTCATACAAGTGATGTTTTATTAAACCATGCCAAGTTTTGGTTTTTTCCTCTTTGAGTATTATTTGTGTAGGATATTTTGCTTTTTATATTATGACTAGAATGATACTCACGTAATGCAGCGGAATATCTTTCGATTTAATTGTTTCGTTTTATTATGTTCTTATTAATGTTATAATACGATTTTATGTGGTACTGAAAAAACGATAATGTTTTTATTTTTTAAATAAAATATAAATTTAAAGGTAGATAAATTTTTGAAAAAAAAATATCGATATTAATATCAAATTAAATATTTAAAAGTTTTTGTTTTTTTTTTGTGTAATTTCTTTAATTCAATTTTTATTATAATTTAATTTAGATTTAATAATAAAGTCATTTATTTTTGGTTTAATAATATAGTTTTTTTATAAAGATAATAATTAGTATTCTGTTAGAATTCAATAATTATTCTAAGTATATTTTAGATTTTTTATATTTAAAATGAGGTACTTATCCAATATTTGATTATGTTTATGGAGCTTTACAATTTACTTGTAATCTTGAATTTTAAGTAATATGCATCAATAAACAATACTTAATGCATCAAAAATGGTTTTTAAGAGTTTTTGTCAAATTCTTTATAATATAGTATACATAATAGGTCATGGTCGTATTCGAAGTAGACATCCACCAAAATTTACCACTATACGAAATTTAACCTTTTTATAATATAGCATGAAAAATACATATAATCCAACAAGTCACCATAATTAACTTATGCATCTGCCAACAAAAGATCAAAAATCAAAATTATATCGATACAAGTATTACTACTTTTTTCAAGTTTATATTTTGCCTCTGATGAGACTTGAACTCTTGAGTTGTAAAAATGTTACCAATGCATCTGCCAACAAAAGATCAAAATCAAAATCAGTTCAAGAATAGAAATGGGAAAATACGGTCTAAAGATCTAAGGTTTTGAAGAATTAAACATAGATGAATAAGTCAAAGTCATCTAATTTTGTAGAGATATAAATAAGCAAATACTAACAAAGAAATAAAGAATTGATTAGAATTGATCCTTATCGACATTAGTAACTTGTACTAATGCATCATTAGTTTGTACTTTTAAATTTTAAGTAATATGCATTAAAAATTAGTATGTTATGTATTATAATTTGTATTTAAAAGTTGCATGTAAATGCTTTATAATATAGTATAGATTAGGTTAATTAAGAGGCAAACAATTGATATTTTTTCGGAAATTTATATAAACAGTTAAAGTTCGATTGGTGGTTTTATTTTTGGGCATTTTCTAACTTAAATTTACTTTTTAGTCACACACTCATAGGGACTGCATGGTATTCTATTTCTGGCTTATGTATATGTGTAAGAATCGGTTTCAACCAAAAAACAGATAAATAAATAAAAAGTCTTATGCATATGCGGAAGGTTTCTGAGTAAGAATTTCACTTTCTGTATAATGATTTTTAATTTTCGTTGTTGCTGAAAACCAATCCTTACGCTTTCTTTGTAATGACTGCTATAAAGTGAAATTGGATCCTGAAATGACTATAAAGGAAATAGATCTCGATAATTTTTCTATTTTTATCAATTTTCTTCAGATATTATTTATGGTTGTTGAAAAAGAAGGAAAGGTGAAGTTTTACTTTGTATCATGTTAATATTTTATCTATTTATTTGTTTCAATAATTACGTGAAATTATGTCAATATTTTACTTAATGTATATTAATATCATTTTTTCCCTTAAATAAATAGGTGATTAGGGCTGTAAACGAACCAAACGAATATGAACAGATGCTTGTTCATGTACGTACGTTTAACTTAACCGAACAAACGAATGAACACGAATGGTAAACGAACGAAAATCTTTGTGTTCGTGTTCGTTTTCGTTTATGTTCGTTCGTTAACATGTTAAACGAACGTAAACGAACAAACATAAACAAACAAGTCTAAACGAACATAAATGATGAAAATGTAAAAAATTCAAATAAACAAAATGATGATAACGTTTAAATCTAAATAAATTCTAAAAAGTTAACACTTAAATAAATATTATTTGAATTCAAACTAAATAAATAAAAAATTATATATTAAATTTAATATATAAACAAACGTAACTAAACGGACGTTCATGAACATAAATGAACGAATGAACTGTTGTTCATGTTCGTTCGTTTAATTAAATGAACAAAAAAAAATTGTTCATGTTCATTCATTTATTAAATAAAGAAACATAACCGAATTTCCCTTCGAACAGTTCACGAACGGTTCGCTGAACGTTCGGTTCGTTTACTGCCCTATATGTGATAATGGATTCAGGTAATTGATAGACAAAGGAAAGACTTAGGGGTTGTTCGGTAACAACTTAATGAGCTGTATAGCAGATATGGCTAATTCGCATAACCATATCTATGTGTTCGATAAGAGCTTAATCGCTCAAACAAGAGCTGAATCGACCAACCACAGATGCATTGTCTTATCTACTCAGCCAATTAATTGTATTTACTTTCCCCATCTACCCCTCTCTCTAACTAATAGCACTCACCATTAATCAAAGAACCCTAGTTGCTCCAGCTGCTTCTTCTGCTCCAGGACTGCTTCTACTCCATCGTTTTCTTCATCGATCTTCTACTCCAGGACAGCTTCTGCTTCCACATCAAGGTATGTTGTTTTCATCATTGATTTTCTGCTCCATCTGTATTTTGACTGTTTTGGATGAACAATCGATTTTCTGCTCCAGCGATTTTGACTACTTCTACTCCATCGTTCCCCACCGTCTCTCTCAGCTTTTTTCCGATTTTGACTGCTTCTACTCAGTTTTTATAAAAAAAACCCATTTCCCCATCTATGATGTTAATGGGTAGGATCATAGGAAGATGTTAGTTTAATTTTATGGAAATTAACTTCTTTAATTCCCTTTTCAGGCTTTAATTCTTTATGGGTATTTTATGTTTCATTTTTTTATTAGGTTCATGTTGATTTCTGGGTGATGTTTGTTTCCCCATTAGAAAGGACCTGAGGTAAAATGATCTTTTCTGACATTTAGACTGTTTATTCAGCATAACAACCGAACAACTTATCTGTTAACAGACAGACAACTATATCCATACAAGTCTTAACAGAAAACGAACAACACATCCCCTTAAAAACTTGCAAACAATAAATTTCTTTTGCAAATTTACGTGCCAAAAATAATATGATATACCATCAAAATGAAAAACCCTCGGATCTCAACCATTATATTAGATTTTTCATTCACTAAAATCTTAAAAGGAAAAATATGTAAATCTTGACAAAAATATATAAAGGCCTAAGAAAGTTGAGGGACATTTCAAACTTTTGTATAATTAAATCATTAATCTAAAGGGTTGTTTGGCAGTTGTTGAATGGTTTGGTGCAAAATAATTAAGTGGTCAGAATGATTAAGAAGCTCTAATGATATAGTGCAAAATGAAATATAATTATTTGGTAATTATTTACAACGAAATTAGGGCGCTAAATGGTTAAGAGAGGCCCAAGATACAAAATCATTAAGAGAGTTTTAGAATCATTAAGAGCCAACTTTTTTTTTTGCCAAACAAGATTCATCTCTTAACGATTTAGAGACTGTCTCTTAATGGAACTATTAAGAGGTAAACAAACAACCGCTAAGCCATTAAATCATTCATCCACTATTTTTTCAAAAAAGATTACGTGCTTTCTTTTCCTAAATAAAAATTAGATTAACTCTTTTTTTAAACTATTATATCGCACACCTTTAGACAAATGAAATGAACCACAAAGCAAGTATACAATATGGACCAATATCGTCTTTCCAAGTAATATAGTGGTAAAATACCGGTTTATCGTCCACGAAGATTGTAGCAAAAGTTTAATAAGAGTCCAATGAAAGAGATGATTTCAGATGATGAAATTAAAGACTTCAGTTTGATATTCAGGTAATTAAATACAGATAGCAAAATAAACAAAGATAGCATGGGTGTAAGATTTGAGGTGAGAATCAAACGCAAATTCCAGTAGCCGATGCTGTAGGAATGCTACAGCAAGCAGTTTTTCATAACTTAGTTCCACCATTTATTTTGAGGATATTCCTCTCGGACTTTCACTATTCCACTATATTATAGCTTTCAACCCATATTTTTATGTGGTGTCCGGACCAGAGATAGTGACAAGTAGTGTCCTCAAAATATATGAATAAACAAATTTTTTCGTTAAAGATCGCTCTCTCGAGCCGATTCCCATATCATTCAAGTTGGCGTGTGTTCTAACTCAAAAACCTTTAACTAGCTTTCGTACAATCGTCGGTCTTTAACCGGTCATTTCAGTCGTGGGTTTTTTCAACCAGTCTTAGGTTTTAATCCTAAGGATGCATTTGATACATCAACATAACTAGACAGGTCTTGACCGGCAAGAATGAGGTAATCGGGCGAAAGAATAGTAGAAGTTACCTAGATGGTGAAAGAATACAGTGGAAAGTTTTGAGATTTTAATTAATTTAATACCGATAGTTTAGTAAATTATATATCTTGTCTCATCTTCTTTCTGATTTTGTTTCACATATTGTATTGGGATAAATAAATAAAAAACTGCATTTTTGTTTTGCTCAATAAAAATATGTCTCAGTCTATTTGTTGCATCAAACATGAGAGTTGAGACAATGACATTTTTGTTTTATCATGTCCCAAACTCCCACGTAACATGATTTATTTATAAAAAATCCAGTAATACATGATTTTATCAAACAAAGCATACAAAATCACTCGATCGGTGTCTTCTCATTTTGTTACTAATCTTGAAGGTTGGAGGCAGCAACATCGACCACAAATCGGTATCTAACGTCGTTGTTGGCCAGCCTTTCCATGGCGGTGTTTATATACTCCATCTTCACCACTTCAATACTTGATTTCAACCCCTTTTCATTGCAAAACTCCAACAACTCTTCTATTTCTTTCATGCTACCTATAAACGTTCCTGTGACCATTTTCCTCCCTTCAACATAAACTGATTAAGTCAGTATATAAATTACAATACCTGTATTTAAAAAAAAAGAACCTAATTTTTACAAGATACGATAATTTCAACGAGGATATATTACAGATTTATAACATTATGCTTAAAGGGTAATTTTGTCTTTTTAATTAGTCCTAAACTGATTTGGTTCTGGCTAGTTAGATCGGTGGTTGGTTGTCTGTACAAATCCTCTTATGCATGGTCTTTTTCTTTTAATCAAGAATTCAAAATCTCTCTCTATTTGTTATATGGTATTAGAGAGAAAGATTAATCAAAAAGACATGATTACCCTTTAAGCAAAATTATAAGTCTCTGACATAATATAATTTCTCCAAAATAAAAAAGAAATGAAAATTTTAGAGCTCTTCTTACGTTTAGAATCTTCAAAACACCAGCCAAAGGGTAAATAAAATGAGAGAACAAAAAATGCCCATATATCAAGGCCAGGAACGCATCGTTAACAGAAAGATTGAGTAAACCGGTGCGGTTTGGAAAAAATTCCAGTCTAAAAGAAAAGATTTTTTTACTTTTTCATAACTGAAAAAGAGCTCCAACCCGCTAAAATCTCTCTCTCTCTCTCTCTCTCTTGTAGCTAGCGGTTCTAGTTTATAGTTATGAGGATGTGGGAGACTAACCGGACATGAGTAAAGGAGAGAAGAACTGCAAAGGGACATTGACAACACCCAACAAGATCAACTTCCCATCGAGCTTCAGCAATGAAATGTAATCGTCCATAGGGTGGTGTATCGGCACCGTGTCGATAAGATAATCAAGTGAATCGGCTGCTGCTTGAATGCTAGCAGTATTTGAGCTAACGAGATATTTGTCAGCTCCAAGAACATTCATAGCCTCTTCTCTCTTTTTGTCAGAGGAGCTGATGACGGTCACATGATGACCCATTGCTTTTGCAATCAAAACACCCATATGTCCGACCCCACCAAGTCCTAGTATGCCGCCTCTCAGCCCACTTTTTTTCAAGCCAAAGTGGCTCAGCGGACTATACACCGTCACCCCGGCACATAGTAGTGGTGCTGCTTGCTCCGGTGCCAACCCTTCTGGTATCTTGACCACAAATCTATGTTTTTAAACCAAAGCAAAACACATATAGTTGCTAAATTGGTTAGCTTAAAAACAACAACAAAAAGTCACTTCATCTATGTTAAAATGTCTATATTTCAATTTTAGTTTGCATCAAAATAAATGTCTATTTTTAAAATTAGATGCATACTTTCCAATTACATTCTTAATTATGAGATGAACGCTTTTAAACCCCTATCTCATTTAAACCCCTCGTCGTCTCATTGTCATCCGCTTTCTATCACCGTGTATCATCGTTGGCCCCTGTTATTGATCTCCCTCTTTTGATTTTTTTTCTGTTTTGCAATTCTCCGTCTTTTATATGTCTATACATGCTCGATTAAGTTGTAAAAGAGGAAGGATCGAAAAAAAAGGGATCAAAAAGAGGGATATCAATGGGTCATATAGAGATTGGACAACAATAAGGTGATGCGGAGTGACGAGGGGAAACAATAGTTGTGTGTGAAGAGTTTGAATGACACAGATTTGCGAACGATAAAATCGATTTAATGTTTTTCTCATTACTTAACATTTCTAGTCGTTTAGGTGTAACTTATATTAGGTTAAAAGTATGTAGGTAAAAATTCAATTGTTTATTAATAAAAAAAATATCATTTAAATAAGACTTTAATGAGTTTTTTTTTATTAAAAAATCAATTTAAAAACTTTATGAAAATGTATACTTCTTTTAATGGTGGACAAGTGTACGAAAGCATGAAGGCATAAATAATGCAATAAAGAAGGATATATATTACTTTTGGTGGACGACCATGGAGGCGGAGAATCCACCTTGGGTGCGGTTGCCGTCGGTGTACACGTCGTTGTAAGCCCATATCTTTTTCTTGCAGTATTGCTCCGCCTCCGCCTCACAAGGGCGGCAGCTGTTGCAGCACCCCACCAGAAGCCCAACTCCGACGATGTCACCGGCTTTGAATTTGCTAACATCCGATCCTATCTCCACCACTTCACCCACCACTTCATGCCTACATCCACCAATAAGATCAGAATCTATGGAATCCCTCGTCATACAATTCTGTAAACCTTAAACCCTTAATTTGAATCAAGTGTGGCTGTAGAAAATGGAATGACGTACCCTGGAACCATTGGGTAATTGGATGTGCCGTACTCGTTTTTGATCTGATGAACATCGGTATGGCAAACACCGCAGCAGATGACCTTGATCAACACGTCTTCTTCCCCGGTTTTTCTGTTAATTTTTACACGAATCAATCAGAACAAACTTTACAAATTCAAAGACATGATTGACGATCGAGATTCACATCATCACGCAGTTCGAAGCAGATGGTTGAATCTCGGTAGTCGGAAACACCAATCGATATCCGTCACCGAATGGCAGATACATATGTAAGGAGAGAGAGAGAGAGAGAGAGAGAGAGAGAGAGAGAGAGAGAATGCCTGAGAGTGAAAGTGTAGGGGGAGAGAAGGCCAGAAGGATCGTTGGCAGCCCATCCTGTAGTCTTTCTCTCTTCTTTCAAGCTGCCCATTTTCTAAACAATGATTACAACTCTGCACCAAAACATTCACAAACGTGTGCATAATATATATATATATATGTATATAAAGAGAGAGAGAGAGATAGAGGGTGGGTGGGAGTAGGGTAGGTGAAGGTAACCATGGGAGAGATGAAAAAGAAGCTTTGTTAGTGAGATTTGACATTTTTCCAAGAGTAAATTACAACAATTGCCACTATGAGGCTATGATTTACCATAACTTCGTCACCCTTTTTCACGCTCTCTTCTCGTTGGCTGCATCTCTTTCCTCTCCCCCTTCCCAGAACTATCTTCCTTGCCGACTGGATCTCTTTCCGGCGATCATCAATCCACGACTGCATCTTTTTCCGACGACCCTCGCTCCATAGAACAGGAATTAGGTATCGAGTCCAAGAAAAGGGTGTATGATTCCAACCATAATCTCATTTGTCAGTTACATACAAAAATAAAAACATATTCTTCTCAAGAATCGATTTCAAATATTCTTGTGTTTTAGTGACTTTATTTCGGGTATGCATTTTTGGTTTGTGGTCGAAGGTGTCTTTTAGGTTTGAAAGAACACTGCATTTCTTGTCTGATTTGATGAACATTAGCTTTATTGGATTTGATTAGTTAGGATCGCAAACCTCCACCATATTTGGTTTTTCCTTAATTAGTTTCAAAGATTCGATTTTCGTTCATATGCTGCGACTCCGACAACCCGCAAAACGGATGGTGGTCCTGAGATTAATCGGCTCGTATAACATGTTAGATATCCAGATTAATTAAAAAAAAGATTGATGATAATTTTGCTAAATGATTTTTGGATCTTGATTGAATTGCTATTTATTTCAGGCAAATTTAAAATTGTTCGAATTGTGTAATCGTCAATTACTGAATAGTGTATTGAATCCATATAAGTCGAATAAAGAACTTCGATTCCTTGTTTCTTACTTGGTATTAGAGTTCGAAAACAGAGAATCTTGAATAAATTACATAATGATGATGAATAAGTATGTGAAATTGTATAAATTTATCTATAAATTCAACATTATATTTTCCTAATCGGTAAAATAGACAATTTGAACAAATTCATACATTTATCAGTTTACAAAAATAAACAGTCTTATGGATTCAGATTTCAGACTTCGACACCATCTCTTATTAATAAGAAGTGAAATAAGAATTCAGATTTCAGCACCCCATAAAAAACAAACGCCACCTTAGTTCGTCTCGAGAGGTAGACCGACCATTTATGTCATTCGGACTGTTGATTCAGTAAAAAACAACATATTTTTATCGACACAAGTGAGTTTAACTGGACAAACAAATTTATCCATACATAATTTAATAGAAAAATTGATAAACAACCTTTAACATTTATATTTTTATCTTTTTATAAACAACTAATATTTATATTTATCATTTTATAAACAAAATAATTTATTCTCGTTTATTTAAAAAGCATCCTCTTTTAGTTTATTGTCAAATTAATCATTCAGACAAAAGATTTAGGGGTCATTTGTTTACCTCTTAATAGTTTCATTAAAAGACAATCTTTGAACCGTTAAAAGCTGAATTTTGTTTGGCAAAAAAAAAATTGCCTCTTAATAGTTCTGAAATCCTTTGAATGATTTTGCATCATTGGTCTCCCTTAACCATTCAGCGTCCTAATTTCATTGTAAACAATCACCAAATAATTATATTTCATTTTGCACTATATCATGAGAGTTTCTTAATCATTCTGACCACTTAATCATTAAACCATTTAGCAACTGCCAAACAGCCCCTTAGTTATCTATCTTTCTATAAAAAAAGTTCTATTTTTTATTAAGAATATTTTATAGATTTGATTAACTAATCAAAATAACATTATTTGATATTTAAAGATATATATATTTAAATTGTGTAATAGTAAAAAAAAATAACCATAGAATTATTTGAGTAAACTCTAATTTTAGTTCCTGTGGTTTAGTGAAATCTTTAAAAATGAGACCTAAATTTTAGTAACTTCAGAAATCGTCCATGTGGTTCTCATTTTGCTCTGAAAGTGATTCCCTATCATTAACTCTGATTATTTTTCTGTTAGTGCTAGGGACATTTTTGTCATTTAGTTTACTATAATTTTGTACCTTTGTGAGCATTACTATGTAGGAAGCCAACCAACTAAAAGAACCATAAAAGAGAAATAAGAATAGTTTAAATAACATGGTTCACATCTGTTCCTAATGATTTTCCTTAAATTGTAGTACTGATTTTAGTTCAACGTTTATTACTGCATGTGCAAGTGAACATCCAACAACAATCATAAGAAAAACATACTCAACGACTTATTTTCCAAAACCTCAAGACATTTTGAATAGTTGACATCCCCAACAGCTTAAACAAAACAGATTGAGCCGGATTCAGAAACTGCTGCTTCTTGACCCTTTCAACAAAAACTGCATTTATAGGAGCTTTTTGCTCTATCGAATTATAATACTTCTCCATTTATTCTTGTAGATACATGCACTAACATTGTTATCGGTAAAATAACGTATGATACCACTTTAATTAAATGGAACAAAGAAGCTCACAGTAGCATACCAGAAAGTATAGTGCAATTTTCATAGGGTATAGGGAATTGAAAAAATCAATCCATCATACTTACTGTACAAATAACCTTACAAATTTTTGGTGCAATATCACAGAAGAATTCAAATGATGTGTGCACAAAAGAGTCTACAGTTTATTGTTCACACTTTCATAGACAACGTATAGCTTGGATTAAGCCTTTAAATAACAAAATAGATCTAGAAAACGAGGTCAACAATCGGTCCAAATACCCGGTTAGGAAAAATGTGGTCTTAATATATAATCCATTATGATACTATTGAAATGTCGAATTACAATTCAAATAATTTGGTGGTGTCTCGTCAGAGAAGAGGGTGCGACGGTGGTGTCTCGTCGGGAGAAGAGGGAACGGTTTTATTTTGATCGTGTTCTGGAAGAGGAGCAAAAGGTAATTTCTATATTAAGTTATTAACTTTGGCTAAAAAATCGTTGAACACTTCTTAAAAGACCTTTTCTTTTTTAATTCCAATATCAACTAAACGGATATTTTTTTTTTATTTTTATAATAAAAAATAAAGAAATTTATTTAGAAAAATTAATTAAAATAACCTTTTTTCGACTTGTGTTTCTCTTAGTTATTTCTTTTCTAAAATCAACATATCATTTTGTCTGCAAGTGGCAGGTTCGTATTTTACGGAGGTGTCAAAGTGTAAAAAAAAAAGCTTCTGAACCAGGTCCGCAAAGTGTAAGGACTAAATTTGTAAATTTGAAGAATGCAGTCATATTTTTTCGAACCTGGTCCAAATTTACGGATTTGGTCCTTACACTTGTTTTAGTAAAAAAAAAATACTCTTTAACGCTGCCGTAAAATGGAGACTTGTCACTTATGGACCGAGTAACATTTTGATAATTGTAGGAGAAAAATGACTAAGAGGTAAAACCATATGGTCAAAATAGCTATTTTAAATTAATTGCTCATATATTTATCGGTGATTACAGGATCACCGACAAAAATTTATTCATTTCTTATTTTTTAACCAAAAAATTACTTTTCCTTGTATAATAATCCATGGGTGATTACACATGATCGTCTGACGAATTTACTTATTTCATATTTTTTTAACAAAAACATGATTTTTCAATCTGTCTGTAATTACCCAGGGATCATTGATGGAACTATCAACTTTATTTATATCTCTTCGATAACCTTTAGAATTCTATTGGAACCGTTGGCATTTTGGGGTGATCTGTATGTCTAGCGATTCCGACTTCATGCAGGTTAGTTGCAGCCTGCAATCCCGAGGAATCCTTCGCATGCCCCCATTACCTTTTGGGAGACGGACGAAGGAGGCTAGGTTGGCCGAAAAATGATTATCCATGTGCTGTCAAGAACGTCAAGAAAGTAGAGGAGGTAGGATGGGCTACCTACTATACGGTACCGATGTGAATATGTTCTCCACCAAACATACAGTGTAATCATCCAGGAAAATTTCCCTTAGTGATTGTTATGGTTAAAAGTCATTTATTTTGTAGTGAGTCTTACGAAAACTCTGAAAATGACGAAAAGACGAAATTACAGATTAATAAATCAGACAATCACTTATTTTTCCTTTCTTGTTGTTTGTTGTTGCAAAGATAACAAGACGAGTTAATATGCATTTTATTAAGTTGATACGATTTATATACAAAATCAGTTTTCTCATTATAGAATAGATGGTTGATTACCTTCACGTAATGAAGTTTTCATCCACCCAAAATCCTTCGTTATGGTTGGATCTTAGTTTATAAAAACACGCTACCCGATAATCACATATTACCCGGTTGTTTGTAAATCACCTGGTAGTTTTATAAAAACACACTACCAAGTGATCAAATACTACTAATTGACAAAATCCATAAAAATTATTCAGTAGGCTCTAGAAGGAATTCCGGGAGGGATGTTTGTAAAGCATTGGTTAGTTCTATTAAAACACGATACCTAGTAACCACATACTACCCGGTTGTTTGTAAAGCACCGAGTATTTTTATAAAAACACACTACCAAGTAATCAAATACTACCCGGTTGTTTGTAAATAACCAGGTAGTTTTATAAATACACGCCACCAAGTAAAATTGGATACTACACGGTTATTTGTAAAATATCAGGTAGTTAGATAAAAATATGCAGGTATTGGTATAATACTACCCAGTTATATGCATGGCACCAAGTAGTTTCAAATTCTGTTATGTAAACAGAATCTGACTCAATAAAAGAAACCATGTAGTATTTAGATTCATTAAAAGAAATATAAATATAATCTGGTGGTGTCTTGTAAGAGAAAAGGGTATGACGATTGTATCTCGTCAGGAGGGGAGAGGAGAGGACAGTGGTATTTTGATCGCATTCTGAAAGAGGAGCAAAGGTAATTTCTATATTAAGTTATTAACTTCGGCTAAAAAATTGTTAAACACTTTTAGAAAA